TAGTGATACTGCCTCGGAAACCCAAGGAGGGGTCGCTATGAGTCAGGTTTGACTCAATGGCACATAACAACAACAACAAATATATATATTTGTTGGTGATATATATATATCACCAACAACCATGAAGGATTAACAAGCATCAGAATGAATTTCCCACTATAATCATGTAGAAAATTTTGGAAAATATATTAAGAAAAGCTTTAAAACATAATACAACAGGGAGGTCAAACTGTGATCATTCAGAAAAGGGTAACAAATATGATGAACATCACCATCATAGCAGATTTCACTGAGAGGCATTTTTTCAGATTTTGGAAGCAAGAAAGGAGTGTCAAAAGAGAGCTAGCACTCTTACTAATTAAGAAAACACAGAGAGGAGTTTTAGGAGTCTGAGGCTGCTGGAAGTTGGGGAGAGTTCCCAAAAGACTTTCCTTAGGTCTGTTATATGATAGGATATTTCTACGGAGTATGATCGCATAAGGGCAACCAGGGAGCTGCCTGCTGAACAATTCTCAGAGATCAAACAGACTGGGGAAATATCCAATCTCTGACTGCCCAAATTCATTTTGCGGCAAAGGTCAGTCTATTAGGGAGGACCATGAACACCATGAGGGGAAGTAGGTTCCTAGAAAATTCAATGATGACATACTATGCCCTTTGTAATTTGTCTGGTTTTAGTTTGCAGTGGTTGCCTGCTCACATCCACATATTTCTTTACTGCTATTCTGCTTGGTGAGACACTGTTATCATATTTTCCTTTAGTTCTTAAGACATAATTTGCGATAGTTCTTTGTACATGTATAACGTAGTTATTTAAATCATTGTCTACTAATTCCAACTTTTGGACTTCCTCAGGTCACTTTCTATTGCTTATCTTTTTCCTATGTAGGGACCATAGTTTCTTGTATCTTTGAATGTTTCCTATTTGGGGATGAAAACTAGACATTATAAACAATACAAAGTAGCAGCTCTGAGAATGAGATTTTCTCAATTCCAAGGGTTGATTGCTATTTGTTGTTGTTACGGTTTGTTCGTTCATACTTTTCTGTATTAATTCTGTAAAGTCTGTATTCTTGTCCTTTGTGGCCACTGAAGACTTCCTTAAACATTTGAAAACTATTAAGTTTCCTGGTTTTTCTTTAGAGGTTCTGTTTATGTGTTGAGGGATAACTTCAGCACTGAGCCAGGAAGTTTACAACACTGCTTTCACTTTCAACACTGTTTCACTTCCTGTTTACAGAATGTCAAGGTCAGCCAGAGATAAAAACTTAGGGGCTAGCAAGTCCTTTCCTGAGTATACAGACAGTCCTGAGCATGCCCACAGTCTTTTTTTCTTTTTCTTTCTTTTTTTTCCTAAACCAGCTTCTACAATAGTTTACTTAGATGAAAAATGGTGGTGACTTGAATTAGGGTGGTGGCACTTAGAATGGAAAAGAAAGGGCTTGGTGATTGATTAAATATAGAAGGTATTCAGTAGAAGAGTAATGAAGGTGTCTGGATTTTCCAGATTTCTGACTTGAGCAAACTGGGTAGATGTTGATATTACACATTGGTTTCATTGCAGGACTAACTCTCCCCTGAAGTCTTCTTAAAACCAAACAATTTAGCTAACTAGTAAAGAATGTAGGAGCTCTGGTGGTGTAGTGCCTAACTACTGCTAACCAGAAGTCTGGTGGTTCAAACCCCCCAGGCACTCCTTGGAAGGAAGATTGAACAAGCTACTACAGATACTGCCTCAGAAACCCAAGGACAGGTAGCTATGAGTGGAACCGACTTGATGGCAGTGAGTTTGGTTTGGTAGAGTGATGGAGAATTTAAAATCATCATTGGTATATTGTGGGTGCAAATGTATAATGATGCAACCACTGTGGAAAACAGTTTGGCAGTTCCTTAGAAGTTTAATTTTAGAGTTACCACATAACCCAAGAATTCTACTCCTAGGTGTGTATACATGCAAAATAATTGAAAACATGTCAAATAAAATCATGTATATGAATATTCATAGTAGCATTATTCATAATGACCAAAAAGTGGAAACAACTCAAATATCTATTAACTGGTAAAAAGATGAACAAAATGTAGTATATATCCATACAGTAGAATATTGTTTTGTCATAAAAAGTGATGATGTACTGATAGATGCTACAATATACATGAACCTTAAAAACATTATGCTAGTGAAAGAAGCCAGTCATGAAACACCACATGTTGTATGATTCTCTTCAAATGAAATTTCCAAAAAAGGTAAATCCGTACGGACAGAAAGTACATTAGTAGTTGGCAGGGAATTAGGGGCAATGGGAGTGACTGCTAATGGGGTCCACATTTTTATTCTAGCATAATGAAAATCTTCCAAAACTAGATTGTTGTAATGGTTGTACAACGTTGTGACTATAGTAAAAACCTCTGGATTATGTACTGTAGAAGTATGATTTTTTAACATTATTTCTCAATTTAAAATGTTAACATTAAAAAAAAAATTCCCACTGTTTGCCCCCAGTAATGGGGGCAAATTCCCATGTCCAGTGTTCTCCTAAAATCATCATTATGTAAATAAATGCATTTCAAGATGAGGACAAGAGAACCAGTACCTTTCTATCACATTTATAACAATACACTCTTCTTCCTTTTCTCCCTTATTATGCACTGAAGAAAATGCTGTATAGTTACAGAATTTCTTCCAGAGAATCTATCTCTGAACTAAAAGAAGAAGTGATTTATAGAAGAAACTATCTTCTGTGGTACTGTTAAAAGTTAAACTTATTCCAAATCTAGGGAGAAAGCTAAATGAAGAGCAAGATCTTACTGTTTGAACAATAGTTTCATTACATTTCATGCAAATATTCAAAAGTTTACTACCTTAATATTGAAAAAATTAAGCACATTGTTTTTGTCAGTTTTTCACAGAGGAAATCCACCAGCTTGGGGAAGCAGAAGGAAATTACCATTTCAATTTGTTCACTCCAGTTTTGTTGGCAGAAATACAGGACTCCCATCATCAGAATATCATTTGTGGTTTTCTTTTTCTTTATAACCCATGAGATGGCTGGAGATATAGTTTATGCTGATATCAAAACTTAACAGACTTCTACTCTAAAACATTCATCTCCACTTCAGAAACCTGGTGAGTTGGATTTAAGTTTCCCTCTACATTAATATTCTACTTTTAGTCTCTTTTGTTTCTATTCTATGTCTGTATCTGTCTTACTAGAATTAGGAGACTGGGGTTGAAGTAAAATTTACTGCATGTAAAAATAAGAGTGAATGATTTAAATGAAATGAAATGTCTCTTCATAAAGACTAATTGCAATTTTAAGTCTTGGGGTGTAGAACTTTGCTTTTGGTATCATGGCCTTTTGCGTTCTTCATGTTTCTTGTGGTGAACATTCATATTAACACAATGATTTCTTTACTCATGAGTGCTTTTTGATCAACAGTTTTTCCCACAAAAAATCAAATCTGTCCTTTTAGCATAATGCAATAAAACCATTTATATTGAGGCAAATATCCATGGTAATTGTTCACCTTGTTATTTTTCCATTAGGAATTTTCATATCAACTGGATAAAAATGTTAAACTAAATTAAAGAGACATGGAATGTTGGCATTTTATTTCACAAAATTTAGAATTAAAACTATCTGAGTAATTGAATATATTTGGAATATGAAGTTAACATTGTGACTTAATCACAAAACTAGCCCCAAAATAATAGATTTTCAAAGTCAGTGTCTTTTCTATATCTTAAATTACCAGGGAAATTTCTTTTCCATGTTGCATTTTTATTCTCTCCTTTACGGTAAGATTTTTCTTTTCTATGACAAAGTTTTTACAGGGGTGGATTACCCAATAAGCAAGGAAGCACAGGCTTATCTGCGCTTGCTTACTTATCTGTTGTGAATGGTTTGACATATGCTTGCGTTGCTTATTGGGTACTCTGATACAGCATTTATATAGAATGCTTAAATAATTTAAAGCCTACCTTTTGCACTTGCCCTTGTGAACCAATCTGATGTGTGTGTGTGTGTGTCTTTCTGTATTTCCAAAGAGTGGATGTCTTCTTTTCTGTTTCTAAAACCTGCCACTCTTTGCAGTTATCAAATGAATCAGGTATGTATTTTTCTGTGGTTTCAAGAACACATCATTTCCTATTATTTAACCTTATATCTCCAATAGTGGTTAAAGTGTTTTCTTTTTTCCCTGGGGTAAGCACTTTCATTTCCCATGCAATATTGGAACTTAGTTTGAAAAGTAACTTGGATTAGAGTTTCATTCATATAAAGAAAACAAAACCAAGCCAAGCAAACCAATATAAACCTCATGTAATTAACCTAGTTTCTAAAGATTTATTTTAACTCAGTTCAAGCAACAAAATCAATTTTTTTTTTATTCTGCATCCCAGGCTTTGATTTTCTTACTATTTTTTGGTAAGACTCTAATCCTTTCTTGTTTTAGTAATTTGGAGCTGCCATCTTTAATGTTATCTAGTCTAATTTCTATGGTATGTATGAGAAAACACAAACATATAGAGATTAAATGACTTACCTACAATCAAGCTTATGATCTAAAGAGTGGGAACAGAAATCAAATATCCTATTGCTGTTTGACTGTATATCAAATGCAACATTTGTTCTCATGTGTCATAGATGTGTGTAAGGAAAGAACAATTTGAAATATTAGATTATCTTCTCCTACTGAGCTCTATATAACTGCCCTGGCTTCCCTCTTATTACCTCCCTTTCACTTATGTTCTGGCCATTGGCTTTCTCTTTGCTCCATAAAATTACCATATTCCTTCTATTTCTGGTCTATTATATGTACATTCCCTTTCCCCGATCCTTTAATCTTTGTATTTCCAGCATCTCACATGAAAAAATAAAACGTTGTCCTCAAGTCAATTCTGACTTATAGGGACCCTATAGGTCAGAGTAGAATTGTCCTATGGATTGTGCCACATCTTTCTCCCTTGGAGCAGCTGGTGGGTTCAAACCACCAACCTTTCAGTTAGCAGCCCAATCCTTAACGATTGCACCACTAGGGCTCCACATCTCACATTGTTGTTGTTGTTGTTGTTATGTGCCATCGAGTCAAACCCGACATCTCACATAGTACTAAATAAATAGCAAAAAAAAATCAATAAATGCTTGTTGAATGAATGAATGTATAAGTGGATGAATAAATTAATGGATCTCATTCCAAAACCCAAAAATCCACTGCCATGGAGTCGACTCATAGTTACCTGTTAGGACAGAATAAAACTGTCCCATAAGGTTTCCAAGGATGTAAACCTTTATGGAACCAGACTGCTTCATCTTTCTTCTATGGAACAACTGGTAGGTTTGAACCACTGACCTTTTGGTTAGCAGTCCACTGCTTTAACCACAGCACCACCAGAGCTCATTCACCAAACCAAATTCACTGCCATCAAGTCGGATCCAATTCACAGTGACCCCTCCTTGGGTTTCCCAGGCAGTATCGCTATGGAAGTAGATTGCCCAACATTTCTTCCGAGAAGTGGTTGGTGGGTTTGAATCACCAGCCTTCTGGTTAGCAGTCAAATGCCTTAGGCACTATACCTCCAGAGCTCATAGATAGTAAATATTGTTGGTTCATTTGTTGTCTAAGGTATAAAACAAAGAGAACTGTCACCAGGAAACCAAACAAGATAACAGTGGGACAGCGTGACTGAACTGAGAATATCCCAGGCTAAGATTCAGAAATTCATGATTTGTTATGTTTTACTAGAAGGGTCTAAGAGAATTATCTAATATGTAAATCCTTTCATAAAATATGAATTCATATTTCCCTAAATTATGGGCCTATAATCTCAGTTCATATTAGAAACATGTCTAAGGATACTACATCCTTCTTATCATTCCCTTGAATGTCACAATTAATATTATTTTACCTGATAAATGAAAATATATAGACTCCTTTTTCCCAAATGTTCTGATAATTGATTAATTAAATACCACTATTTTTTGCTTAAGAGCAGCCTGACCATAAATCAAAGCACTTGGTATTATTCTAGCAAATAATCAGTTTCAGTATTTTTGACACTTGATTTTGCATTTCTTTGTATTTCAACATCAACTATTTTTAATACTTCTCAGTGTATTGTGTATAATATATGTAGTAGAATTGGTATACTATAATAATTTTATTTTAGATACTGTTGTTTTTAACTGACAAACTAAAGCTGAAAAGACCAGCTTCTTTGTTTTTTTTTTTATTATCTCTCAGTACTGCAAAGGCAATGAACAGTGTGGAGTAAACACAGCACTGGTCTGGTAGTCAATAGACCTGAGGTCTGATCTCAGCTCTGCTATTAAGTAATTGTACAATGGTGGAATCAAATTTCCTGACTTTAAAACATGAGTGTTGAATAAAATAATCCCTAAAATTACTTATCTTTTTAAACTGATGATTCTATGAAATGACAAGAAATAGGGTCATTGCATACGGGAAGGAATGGAAAAGAAACAGTCAGTACAAATGAGTGAGTATTACAGAACCACAGTTTTAAATAAAAACTTAGGGATGTAGAGAGTAAGATCATAATACAGGAAATACAAATTGGAAACCTACAAGGAAAAAATATATCCACTGAGAGTTTTATAGGTTCCTCTTTTCACAAAAAGGACAACTGTGTATGTCTATGTATATACATAAGGGAGAAAACGTGACATAGTAAAAAAAAAAAAAAAAGGAAGTTTTTAAAAATAAACATATTTGAAAGGAGGATAGCTCAGGGACATGATAACTGATCACTGCAAATGTATTTCCAGCCTTCTCCTACCTTTCAACAGCATGCAAGATTCAAATAAATTATCTGCTAAGCTTACTGGGAGCTCTGGTAGTGTTGTGCCTAAGATACTTGACTGCTAACCAGAAGGCTGGTGGTTCAAACCCACCAACCACTTCTCGGAAGGAAGGTTAGGCAATCTACTTCCATAGTGATTCCGCTTCGGAAACCCAAGAAGGGGTGGCTATGAGTCAGATCTGACTCGATGGCACGTACCAACAACAACAATCTTACTAGTGATATCTATCCAATTTTACAGAGTCTCACCATCGTGGAATTTTTCTGAAAGTTGCATGTGCAATAATTATCATCCTCCTACTGATAGTAATTGTGCTGGGCATTTTTGGTAAGTAATTAGCAGCATTATTCATGTATCCCAAAGTATTATTCTCTGATAACCTGGTATATCAGTGTTTGTTATTCAAGTGTTTCCTAAAAGATACAGTATAATTTCACAAAAAGTGTGAAATGTGATATTAGAGATTTTACCATAGAGCTTTAACATGGTGATACAATAAACATTATGGATTAATCAAGGAGCCTACTGCTGCAGTGGTTAAGTGTCTGGCTATTAACTAAAAGTTTGGCAGTTCAAACTCATCAGCAGCTCCGTAAGAGAAAGATAGGAAGTCTGTTCCATAAAGATTATATCCTAGGAAACCCTATGGGGCTGTTCTACTCTATCCTATAAGGTCACTATGAGTCAGAATACACTCAATGGCAATGAGTACTGTATGAATTAATCTCACTGGTAAAAGAAACATGTCAAGATTAGGAGTATATTTTATGACTAAGATGACACAATGCATTATGTTGTTCTTCAGTGCAGTTCAATAGTGGGATATACTCAAGCTTCTTTGAAAGCATCTTTGATGAGAGTAAATTAAATTATGAAGGATATTTTTATGTAAGCTTATGCTTATTGGCTGCTGCTGGACATCATTAATCTTGTATTCATAGTTGAAAATTATATTTAAAATCAATCAACTGAATCAAGTGTTTAAAAATTATACTCATATACTTTAGACATAGCTGGGCATAGCCCAATTATTCATATGATAATTACTTTAATATTTTCATTGAATAAATGTTTAGAGAAAAGTTCTTGATGAATATCCATAAATCAAAGCTAAGAGGGGGGGAAAAAAAAAGGTAACCTTGATATACAGAAGCTGTATATTCCAAGTAATGAGAGTGTTCTAGTTACCTTGTGCCACTCTGACAAGAATGTACCACAAATGGGATGGCTTAACAAACAGGAGTTTCTCTTGCAGTTTGCAGACTTTAAGTTCAATTTCAAAGTGCCAGGCTCTAGGGACTGTGTGAAAGCCCCTCAACCTTGGGCTTCAGCTCTGCCTCTTGCTCCCAGCCCACTGGAGCTAGAGGCATCTCTTCACTCAGGCAGCTACTGGCTCCTGAGGCTAACAAGCCCAAGATGACAAATAAAATGGCACAGTCCCGATGTTACCAAACCACACAGCAGACTGTTCATTCAAGTTCATTGAAAGTCCCAAGGTCAGCAGAGCATGGCAGGCTGCTGAACAACAACATGGCTACATGCAGGGTCCAAGCGTGCCACAAGCTAGAGATCATTCCCAAAGCTGCATCTTATATACAGGAAGCAGACCACATAACCAAAGCAGCTACTCAGCTGCTTGTGGTAGATCCCATCATGGAGTTGATTCCCAGTCTTATCATGGGGAATAACTACCACCAGCTGCCCAGCCACTCAACCAGGTCCAGCCAGGTTGACACACAAACATAACCACCACAGAGGGCTTCTAGATTAAACTAAACTCTAGAACAGACCAATGCACTATCTGCCTATGTCACTGAACCTTCTGAATGACATTAGCAATTATAATGACATTAGTAATTATAATTATAATTAGTAAGCACAGTCATGGAATCCTGGAAAAGTACAGGGCTCTAGAAGTCAGCAAAGTCAAACTTCTGGTTCAGATAAGCAATCTGAATCCTAGAGGGATTAAGTAGTATGACTAGTTTCATATAATCATATAGTCAATAGCCAAATTGAGACTCTAAACTATAATAAAAATAAATTATCACCAAAAAGCTCTGCTATGTTTTTATGTTAAGGAAATACATTTGTTTATTATTAAAATAGTTTATTACTAAAATAGATTTGTTTGGGACCAGATTGATGTGACAGTAATAGATTTTAAGTATGTCTTTCTTAAAAATTTATCTAAGAGGTATCAAGGTGTAGGATTTAAAGGCAAGCACACTCTGGAGACCAAGTGACTGTTTTTGAAGCCCAGCTCCGTCACTAATGGAGTAAGTTGGAATTGACTCAATGGCAGTGGATCAGTCATATATATATTAAATGCTATAAGAATTAAAAGCATTATAAAGCAATATAAAATATTAGAGATTACATATTTAATCAAGTAAATTACCTATATAACCGCATTATACATGTAGAACCATGTACCAATGCCTGGCATATGGCAAGTATCACATACATATTTACTTTTATTTTTTAGTTATACCAATTTCATTTTATGTGGCCAATACTAACTACCTGATACACACGATCATGAGATTATAATTTTAAAAACCTAGTTCCAATTAAATGGCCATCAGAAAGATAAATGTCCTCTTCATAGAAAAATTATTATGGGCTAACCCCATTATATGCCACATAATGTTCATCTGGGCAACACTGGACTTCATATACATCCTTGGTTTCATAAATTCAGAAATCCCGATCAGAGAATGGTATGTAGCAGATGTAACTAGATGTAGTAATCACAACAGCTTCCCACATGAAGCATGTGCATCTGATGTCTCTTGAATACAAACTAATTGTACTTCCAGGCATCTGTTCAAAGAAAACTTTGTATCTAACTCAAATTTCAATATAATAAGCTTTACAGGGTTTGCTCCTAACAATAAGTTGTATATTAGTCAGCTGTTCATAACCTGGGGACTTTATGTAACATAGCATTTGCACCACATCCAAATCACATAACATCATATTTCACAGAATGTGTCATGGATGTTAAGTGACACATGACTATATATGTAGCATTTACACACAGAATCTCAAAAGGAACAGAATTATGAGCCAAAATCAAGACACAATAAAAATCCTTTCCATAAATTGACACTTGATATAGGTAACAGGAACTCAATAAACACAAACTATCAAATTAGTTTTATATCCAGTGCTGTCTATTTTGCACTTACTAAAACAAATATGAAAAATTAAGTGAGTATCTCTTTGCTCCTAGGTCATATTTTCTTTTTCCATTTCTCCTACTAATCATGAATAAGAATAAAAAAGAAATTATAAATCTTAGAAAAAATAAAGTTATTTGTCCTCCTAAACTTTTTACTATGGAATTTCTACATTATTGAACTTCAAAGAGTGGCTAGAACCCCATAATATGTGCTTTGAATTTAACTAGGGAAATATGTTTATTCTCTCATTAGTTATCCAGTTCAATTCTGCAAAACATAATAAAGTGAATAATGAGTTAATGAAGAAAAACTGTACTGGAAAAAACAAATCACTAACAATCACTTTAACAGGTAAGATTATTCTATATTGCCTAACTCTTTACATGTGGTTGCAATCCCATTGATCTCCATTTTTTCCTAAATCTACTCTGGAGAAAAACATATACTTTTTCAAAGAGATCTTAAAGCATACTTTTAACTTTCAGAGCCTTGAGTCAGTATACATTATCAAGGATATAGTTTTTAATTTCTTTTAATTACTTTTCTTTGTTATTCCTAGTTTCTTCCAAGCCTTCCGCTATCCATCAATCATGTCCCTCCCAAGAGTGGACACCACATGGTGGGAAGTGTTACTGGATTTCAGAAACCGAGCTATCTTGGAGAAAAAGTCAAGAGAACTGTGCCATGAAAAATTCACATCTCTTTGTGATTCAAGACATTACTGATACAGTGAGATACTAATCCTCATGATTATAAGCATTTCCCATATTCACAATTGGATTCTTTGTGCTACAAAATTGACAAATGTCAGTGAAATAATATTTATCTAAAACTTGATTCATCTAAATAGAAGTTTAACTATATGAAAGTTGAATATTATTTCCAGCCTTCTAATTAGTAAGACAAATACAGATGTTAATTGGTAAACACCAAACAAAGATTCTCAGTTTGAGGATTAGGGGATTAGAACCACAAATTATATCAAAGATTCAGGCTCTGAAAATCCCAGACTAGCAACGTATACAATCCTGGTTGAACATCAGCCATCTGGAGAGATTACAAAGGTGCACCTGTTGAGACTTCTGAGCGAGAAGGCTCTGAGTTTCACAAAAACCCACAACAAGAAGAAAAACAGAAGGAGAAATAAGCTATTTTCGATGTAACCAGGAAATGTCCATAACCCCAAATATCAAACTGTATGAGCGTCAGATGCAGTGAAATATGAACTAAATCCTGAATGGAGTTTAAGAGCTGAAAGAGATCTCTCTCCTCCTTCTAAAGGTCATTTTTAATGGACAAAAAGGAAGAAACAGGAATAAACTGCAAAGCTTCTAACAAGAATGTTCCAAAAGGAACAAAAATAAATCATCTCATGGTCACACTATGAAATGTAAGACTTCACTAATAACCTCATGCATTTCCTGCTCACCCTTAAAAGAAGGAATGCTGAAACTCAGGGAAGATGTGTCTCCAGGGCAAACAATGAATCAGATTTTGGAGAGGAGTGAAGTAAGACAACATATTTAATGTAAACTTCCTTCCTTCATTTTAGTTTGCTCCTCTTCACATTATTCCTAACCAGCTAGTTGGACCAAACATACTAGTTCCCTTTCACTGATAAATAAGAATCTAAAGTAAATCATCATAGGACTTATGCACAGATTTCCAAAGCCCTCCACAAAATGACACATGAAAGGCAGATAATATATATACTGCAAAAGAAACAGAAAATAATTTTCTGGCATATACTTCTCAAGAGCTCAAATAAGTTAAAGATATAATGGTGGGAAAATAAAAGAATTATTAATCCATCTAAGATATCCATGTTGATCATATAACTGTATAAAAAGGAAAGGGAGGAGAAAGAGATAAAAAAAAGAGAAGAAAGAAGCAAGCTAATGTTTAAAAAGGGAAGTTTATGACTGTCACTCACGATGTAGAAATCACAAAGTAGTGTTGTTCCTACTTCTATAATGAAAAATATCTGGAGTAAATTCAAATTCACAACTATTTTTCAAGCCCATTGGAAAGTCAAAGTCACTGACTAATCAACAGTTCAAATAGGAATCTTCAGGGAGAGAGAAGACACATCATTCTTACTCCTGGTCAACAAGTTAGACACCACTAAGAAGAGTTACACACACACACAAGCACACACTCACTGCCGTCAAGTTGGATCTGACTCATAGTGACCCCTCCTTGGGTTTCTGAGGTGGTATCACTATGGAAGTAGATTGCCCAACCTTCCTTCCAAGGAGTGGCTAGTGGGTTTGAACCGCCAGCCTTCTGGTTAGCAGTCAAATGCCTTAGGCACTATGCCACTAGAGCTCTGTTAAGAAGAGTTAGGCCAGACTATTGAAAAATTGGTGAAGGCTAAGAGTCAGGTGATGGAACAGCATCTACAGAAATGGGGGGAAATCCATACCCTTTCTCTACAGACCTTACCAGGGGTTCACAGAAAAAAGAAAGAAAGAAAGTGTTCATTATGGTGCAGACTTGGGAAACAGCGGTAATGTGGAAGTAGCAAGAAACTCCATTCAAATTCCTCACTCCTATCTGCTATCTACCTTTTGGAACAAAAGCTTTAAAGTGCATGTAGGGAAGGAGAAGTAAATACTACTTCTCTTAGGAAGCTGGTAAACATTATTGCAGCTAGGAAAAAAAGCCATGAATAAAAACGTACTCCTTCAGGAATACATCCTAGTCCCACACCTACTGCCCGAGTAGGGCAGCAGAAATGAGGCCAGATCCTCTATACACAGGGACTCAGTGCCTCCAAGACAGAAGCATAATCAGAACAACAGAGACTGTCACCCTCTACTACGTCCCACTAGTAAGCTAACAAGTTTTAAATAACAAGTAAGGAAAAAGACTGTTGGGATAGGGCTAGTTGAAAATAAGATCATGCAAAGAGAGCCTCTCTGAGGCAAAGTGAAAAGGAAAAACTAAGATACAGATGGTCAAACAGACATTGCTCTGGCAAATAAACCCCATACTAAACAAAAGGAATTTGAAGCCTGTGGAGTTAGTCCATGAACTAACTATGTATCTTAATAACTAAAGTATCTTCATATAACTATGAAGATAGTCATAGCTACAACAATTCACAAATTCAGCTTATTAGTAAATAAATTAACTTAAACCCTACACTAAAGATATAGCAGAAGGAAATGCATACTCATTACTAAACAGAACTATTTAACTGTCTATCTTCTTCTAAGAAAGATATCCAGCTTTCAACAAATACCTTCCCCTTAAAAATATTTCACATTTAAATGGTTCCACTGTTTATTGAGCATTTAAGGAAATGTAATACCAGTTCTAAACAATCTTCCAGAAAATAATGAAAAATATTTCTCAAATCATTTTATGAAGCCAGAATGATCTTAACAAAAAACTAGACAAAGACATTTCAAAAAAGATGAAAAGCATAGTGCCTAAGGTACTTGACTGCTAACCAGAAGACTGGCATTCAAACCCACCAGCCACTTCTCAGAAGGAAGATGGGGCAATCTACTTCTGTAGTGATACTGCCTCGAAAACCCAAGGAGGGCTCGCTATGAGTTGGGTCCGACTCGATGGCACACAACAACAACATTCCTCATAAGGAGCTCTGGCAGCATAGTGTCTAAGGAATTTGACTGCTAACCAGGAGACTGGCAGTTCAAATCCACCAGCCACTCCTGGGAAGGAAGGTTAGGCAATCTACTTCCATAGTGATACTGCCTTGGAAACCCAAGGAGGAATTGCTATGCATTGGATACGACTCCACGGCAGTGAGGTTTTTTATTCCTCATAAGCATAGATACAAATAACCGCAACAAAATACCAGCAAATTAAGACCAGGAATATATGAGTTTATTGAGATATGAAAACTAATATATGAAAATGTTGGATTTTCATTCAGTTCAAAAACCTTACATGTTTTGGTTACCTAGTGCTGCTCTGACAGGAATATGCCACAAATGGGATGCTTTAACAAACAGTTTATTCTCTTACAATTTTGGAGGATAGAAGTCCGAGTTCCAGGTGCCAGGCTCTAGGGGCTGGGTGAAAGCCTCTCAACCTTGGGCTTCAGCTCTGTCTCTTGCTCTCAGCCCACTGAAGCTAGAGGCATCTCTTCACTCAGGCAGCTGCTAGCTGCTGAGGCTGACAAACCCAAGGTCGACAAGTAAAAAGGCACAGTCCCAATATTACCAAATCACATGGCAGACCATTCATTCAAGTCCATTAAAAGTCTCAAGACTGGCAGGACAACATGACAGGCTGCTGAACAATGACTCAGATATATGCAGGATTCAAGCATGCCATTGGCTGGAAACCTTCCTCGCTCAAAGTTACTTCTTATATACAGGAAGCAAATCACATCCCTAAAGCAGCTATTCAGCTGCTCCAATAGACTCCACCATGGAGTTAATTACCAATTTTACCATGGGGAATAACTACATCCAGCTGCCCAGGCACTCAACAATCACATTGGATTAGTAGTTCATCATTATAAAATCAATCAATTTAATATACCATAATAACAGACTAAGTGAGAAAGACTAAGTAAGACCTGGGATTAGAGATCAAAAAGGGAGAACATGCTCCTCATTTCTGAAGCTAAAAGAACTGAAGAAAAAAATTAAGCCTGGAATTTCAATACTGTATGATCCTATGGGCATAGTACTGAACAATGCAGGAAGCATCAAAAGATGGAAGTAATACAGAGAGTCAGTATACCAAAAAGAATTCAACTTTCAACCATTTCAGGAGGTAGCATATCATTAAGAGCCAATGGTATTAAAGGAAGAAGTCCAAGCTGCACTGAGGAATTGGAACAACAACAACTACCAAAAAAAAAAAAAAAAAGAAAAAAATAGGGCTCCATATCTACTTCTGCAGCAATACTGCCTTGGAAACCCAAGGAGGGGTCGCTATGAATCAGGTCTGACTCGACGGCACATAATAACAACATACTAGATGGAATACCCATTGAGATGTTTCAACAAAAAGATGCAGCACAGGAGACACTCATTTGTTTATGCCAAGAAACTAAGAAGACAGCTATCAGGCCAACTGACTGGAAGAGATGTATATTTGTGCCCATTTCAAAGAAAGCTGATTCTATAGAATGTGGAAATTATGGAATAATATCATTTATATCAAACACAAGTAAAATTTGGCTGAAAATAATTCAAAAACTATTGCAGCAGTATATTGACAGGGAACTACCAGAAATTCAAGCTAGACTTGGAAGAGGGCATGGAATGAGGGATGTCATTGCTAATGTCAGATGGATCTTGGCTGAAAGCAAAGAATACCAGGAAAATATTCACCCATGTTGCATTGACTATGCAAAGGCATTTGACTGTGATAACATTGTGAAGAATGGGAATTCCAGAACAATTAACTGTGTTCATGATGAATATGTACATAGACCAAGAGTCAATCATTCAAACAGAACAAAGGGATATTGCATAGTTTAAAATCAGGAAAGGTGTGTCTAAGGGTTGTATCCTTTAACTTTACCTGTTAAATCTGTATACTGAGCAAATAATCTGAGGAATTGGACTATTTGAAGAAGAACATGGCATCAAGATTAGAGAAAGACTCTTTAAAACCTGAGATATGCAGTGAGACAATCTTGCTTGCTGAAAATGAATACGACTTGAAGTACTTACTGATGAGAATCAAAGGCTACAGCCTTCAGTACAGATTATACCGCAACATTAAAAAAAAAAAAAAAATCCTCACAA